GGAATAGAAGGGTGCTTAGGCCTATGGAAAGATCATGCAGGAAGAAAAAGGGCAGAGGGATGAGGAGTGGGACTCGCTTTTATAGACCCCCCCACATGCGCATATGAGCTTACATAGCACGTGCATAGATTACGTGATCACTCTGCACGCAAATTACGTGATCATGCAGCACAAGGATAATGCAGGACGTAAGGCCCTGGGATGACTAAGCATCTTGCCAATGCATGTGTGGTCATGGGGGCGTGGCTAGGAATTCTAACACAGACACTTGTCGTGCTGTACTGTTATTAGACTGGGCAAGGCATGGGACACATTCTTCTTTGTACCCCAGGCTCTAGAGAGATCTGTGTGTCCCCAGTACGCACCTCAATCTGAAGTGCTCTCTCTTCAAGACCTCTCTTCAGGCAGTAAAGTGCTTGCCATGCAAGAGTAAGGACTCAAACCTAATCCCCCAGAATCCACATTGAAAAAGCTGAGCTTGGTGGTACACCTTTAAGCCCAGGTACAGGATCCCTGAGGCTTTTCTGGCCAGTTAGTCTAACTGAATTGGTGAGGCCCAGGTTCAGCGTGAGAGCCAGTCTCAAAAGAATAAGGTGGAGAAGTGATTGAGAGAGATGCAGATGGCAGCCTCTCGGCCTTCCTTTGTATGCATGTCCACACACGTGTACACATGTAACTAACACACACACACACACACACACACACACACACACACACACACACACCCCACATACAGGATTACCTGGGTTCCCAGGATACTCGTGTTATCTCTGCTCTGACATTTATCACATTGATATCAGGGAAACCAGGATCCCCTCTTGGGATTCTTGAGCTCATTAATAAAATAATTTTAAGAGAACGTTGAAGAACAATTTTATTGGAGCTGAAATGAAAAACTATTAGCCCCCCCCCCCCAAAAAAAAAAAGTCAGGCAGTGGTGACTTAAGCTTTTAATCCTAGCACTTGGGAGGCAGAGGCTGGTGGAGATCTGAGTTAGAGGTCAGCCTGGTCTACAAAGTGAGTTCTGGGATAGCCAGAGTTACACTAAGAAACCCTATCATGAAAAAAAAATCCAAAAATAAAAGGATTCAAAGTTGGTAGGGGGTGGAGGGTGAGTGGATCTGGCTTGACTTAGGGAGAGGAGTTGGAGGTGAATATGATCAAAACATCATGCATGGAATTTCAAAGAATGGAGAAAAATATTGAAAAGAAGAAGAAGAAGAAGAAGAAGAAGAAGAAGAAGAAGAAGAAGAAGAAGAAGAAGAAGAAGAAGAAGAAGAAGAAGAAGAAGAAGAAGAAGAATCCAGGACAGGCAAGCTGTAAATCTCAGCCTGGGGGAGGAAAATGGAGGAGGTCAGGGTGCGGCCATGCTGTTTCAGTTACTGGAATGGAGGTCCACACATGGCAGCAAGCAGCCACATGACAGGGCCTAGAGCATTAGAGAAAGAGCAAGGAAGCCTGTAGCAGCAGAAAACATACTTGTGTTCCAGTCAACATCTCAACATGAACAGGGTGGGGGCCAGGAAAAGTTATACCTTCTCAGAAAGATTGGCAGACCCAGCTGAGCTTCAGGCAGGGGCGGGGCTTCTGAGAAGGAAATAGAGCATCTCACCAAAGGGATGATAATGCTGCCTATCTCTTTAGCATGGCTCAAGTTGACCCTGCTTTGCTAGGGGTAATCCTGGCCAGGTCATAGACCTTGACCAACTAAAATAGTAAGTCTCTCAGCAGACCAGAGATGCTTTCCTCTTGACCAGAAGCTTTCCTGTAATGCCCCGTTATTGCTACTCAAACAACCTGACCTCTTTCTAGCTTGAGAAGGTCACAAGCAGGAGCTGTGCTGTGGGGCCCCAGACTTGAGTCTCTGTAAGTAATTGTGACTGCAGACTTCATGTTCATCTTCTGCCACATGCCGGGAGGAGGTGCTGTTGGGGAAGCATCTCCTGGGCACAGTACCCAGCACTTGTTGGGCACCCCGCACATAGCTGCAGCTGGACTTGGACCCCCAGCTTCTCTGCACAGTTAGTGCAGCATTTGGCAAAGTGTAGTTCTGGAAGTGTTTGCTGAAGGCTAAGGCAGCATGGTTCCCCGGACACACACTCTCTACCCACTCCCCTGCAAGACTGTCTCAGTCTCACTCTGGCTTCAATTCTCAGTTCTTTTCAGCTGCAGCCAAGTGGCCTTTTGTTAATTCACTGCCTGAAGAACCCTTCAACGACTTGCCTGCAGTGAAAAAATGGATGATGTCCAGAAAACCCTCAGAGACACCTTTTCTGGGCTCATTCCAGCAGGTTGAGGCCCGTGAAAAATCCTTCGGCTAGAGATGCAGTATGTCTCAGCGACGCACATGGAGTCTGCATTCCCTCAACTTCTCCTGTGGCCTCTCCAACCCTAGCCCCTGCTCCAACTCGGTCCTCTGCATGGATGGCCCGCCCTGGCGAATCTGTTCGTCTCAGGTTTTAGTCACATGTAACAACTCAACCTCATAGCAGTGGGGTACTTTCTTCCCCATCTAGAGGATCACCCAGCTCCTGGGAGTGTATGTGTTCACAGCTGAAACGAGAAAGCTCCCGTCTTCTCTTGGCTCTGCACACACCCCACCTTTGCAGATGGATACCTTGCCTTGGGAACAGAGAAGGACTTCTAGTACATGTCCTCTGAAGCTGTTGGGCCCAGCTTCTGCCAGGCTGATTGTGGGTTTTCCCTGCAGCCAGCCCACAGTGCGTGGTTGTAAAAGTAGTGTGAGAGATGAGTTGTTCCTAATGGCAGTGTTTCGAGGATGGTTCTTTAGCTGGGTCCTTGCTGCTGTGAAGTCTTTGGTGCTTCTGTTGAAGAAGTGTCCATTTTTATGATCATGAAAGTAGCCCATGGCTGTTCTCAGAAACATATAGAAGTGGCTGTCTCTGGGGGGACAAGTACTGTGCACAGATTCTTTTTTATTGTCCATTGGCACTCCATATTTAATTCCTTCTCCAAGACACCATCCTCTTGGTGAGCACCCATGGATGGGGTGGCCTTTCTTATTACCTGAGTTCAGAGGGTGCTGGCTCAAGTCACCCGAGTCCTGCTCCTCCACAGCCCATCCCGTGAGTTCCGTGGTATTAGTGACTGGTGTCCTGAGCCCATTGTCACCTTCCCCTTCATCACTGTGGGTCTCTCTCCTGTGAACCACCTCTTTTCTGTACTCTGATACTGGCATTCACTTTTCCCATGTGTCTCTGCACCCTCCCTGGCTTTTCTGGCAGTAGCCCACACCCTCTTCTGTCCTCTCTCGTGTGTGACACATAGCCTCTCCCGTGTGTCACAGAGACTTCCATCTGTCATCACAGGGCCCTCCTAGGACAGACACACTTAGCCAACCTGGATGGGCACAGCTTCATTGTTCCTATACGTCGAGTACCTGCAAGGCTGTGACCGTGAGGCTCATCCAGCGATTTGCTCAGGCTGTTCTCACCATTCAGGACCTTCTACCACTCTGTATGTCTCCAGTGTACATCCTTGGCCAGGTTTCTGATGGTCCTAGCCATTTTTCCCCACCTGTGAACCCCACTGACTTGTCCTTCCCTCAAGGTGCTTTGCCTGTAACATTTCTTGGTGGCTTTGTATGGGCAGCCAGGGAATGCAGGGTCCGGAGTGATGCCAAACTCATTGGAGCCCCAGTTTAACTGTGCTCTAGCTCTGTCACCTTGGGTAAATTCCTAGCTCTCTGATATTCAGTTTTCTTCTCTTTAAAGTAGACACTAACCATGTCTCCATATGCTATGATTTAGGTTCAGCTTTCTAGCAGGAGTCCAAAATGCATACTAAACATTTTTAATTTTTTTTTTTTTTTGTGGCTATGAGATTTGAACCTAGGTCATCATTCATGCTAGGTGAATGCTCTACCACTGAGCTACACCACCAGCCTTGTCTAAACTTTTTATTTTGAGACAGAGTCTCACTTGCTCAGATGGGCCTTGAACTTGCTCTGTAGCCCAGGCAGGCTTTTAACTTGAGATCCTCATGCCTCAGCTCCCTGAGCAGCTGGGATAACAGGCTTGTACCACAAAGCCTCATGCATATAAAGCTTCCGCGGTTTCTGGAACACAGTGCTGAAAAAGCAACAGTTGTAGACCCCAAGGTTGACATTGAGGGTCTTCCTGAGTACTCTCCACTTTATGCATGGCCACAGGGGCTCTCAATTGAACCCAGAGCTCACTGATACTGGTTAGTCCAGCTCCGTAGCTTGCTCTAGGGATCTCCTGTTTCTGCCTTCTGAGTGCAGCCACCATACCCACCTGGTATTTACACGGGTTCTGGGGATCTGAACTCTGGTCCTCACGCTTCTGCAGCAAGTGCTTTATCCACTAAGTTATCTCCGCAGCCCCTGGGCTTTTGTTTGTTTGTTTGGTTGGTTTTTGGTTTGAGTTTGTTCGTTTTGGTTTTTGAGAAAGGGTTCCTCACTGGCCTGGAACTTGCCAGATAGGCTAGGCTAGGCTGGCTGGCCAACCAGTACCGAGGAGCTGTCTGTCTCCACCTCCCCATCTCTGGACTTGGCAGCTCACTACATCTGGCCTTTTTGCTTGGATCAGACTCAGGTCCTCATACTTGCAAGGCAACCATTTTCCTGAGTCACCCCAGCCCTCCTGACCCTGCAGACGTCACCTTCTGAGCAGGGTTCTGAGCAGGGTTCTGAAGCCCTGGCTAATGTGTAAGTCTTCAGAGAAGAGGGTTTTTGTGGAATTAAAGGTCAATTCAGTGAGGCTCAGGCAGCACCTGGAAAGCGGGGCGTGTGTGTTTATTGTGGGGTTCTAGTTGACTGGATACAGGATCTGGTGTAAACAGGTAAAGCTGTGTGACATGCAGATGGTCCTGTCCTCCATTGTATTCAGCGGGGCCCCACCTAAAGCTGTTCCCAGAGGCTGAGCCTCTCCCTCCCTCTTCTTCCATCTGAGGAGAAGCTTTTGGTCACTCTGTTACCTTTCCCCAGTCACAGCCATTGTTGCCCTTTTCTCTTGCAGCCAGGAGGCATTCCAGGATCCGGCCCAAGGTGACTGTCCTCAACTATGCCTCTCTGATGACCTCAGTTGGACGGCCACTGAATGAGATGGTCCTGACTCCACTAACAGAGCAGGAAGGAGAGGCGTACCTGGAGAAGTGTGGCAGTGTTCGGCGGCACACAGTGGCCAATGCCCACTCGGACATCCAGCTGCTGGCCATGGCCACCATGATGCACTCAGGGTTAGGGGAGGAGGCTGACAGCGAGGACAAGCACCTGCTCCTGCCGCCCAGCTTCCCACCGCCACACCGCCAGTGCTCCAGTGAGCCCAGCATCCCCGATAGCCCTGATGAACTGGAACTAGAAGATGGAGCAAGTGGCAGCCAGGAGGACTCAGAGATGAACTGTGCTTCCCTCAGCTGAGCGGACCTCTCCAGGATTTCCGCATCCCTACTTTGTAGCCAGGATGAGGACTATGTGGATGTATCTCCTCCATGGATCACCAAGGGGCTCTTGCTTTGAGTGGCACTGCCTTGTTTCTTAGGGCACAAGCCAAGTCTCCATGCCCCCGGGAAACACCTGTAACCTCCCCCCCCCCACACACACACACACTGTGGTGTCTGTGGCTAGCTCCTCATGCCACTGTTCTCCTGACTTCCAGCCTCACCTGCTTCACCTGGATCCTCTTCTCTGGGCCCTTCCCATCCTATTGGACTGGCTGATGCTCCTAGTATATAATGCTCTGGCATTGCTGTCTCAGAAGCTGGCACCACACATGAGCATCTAGAATGTGCCAGCCCTTGCTGTTCCCCTAATGATCCATGAAGCAGAAGCCAAGGGGTAGAAGGAGTAGTAGAGGTTCTGTATAACATGGAAGTCAACTGTAGCCCATGCCGCACATGGTCCTGGGAATGTGTCCTTATCACTTACTTTAATTGCAGTGTCCTTGAAAGCATTATCCTACTCGTGGGTGAGGGTCCATCCTTACGTATGTCCAGATGTCATGTGCTGTCTACACAAAGGGCTTTAACCTAGCAGAATCTCTGTCTTGGACTCAGCCTCAGCATGTCGCTCTCAGGCTTCTTCCCAGTCTCCAGGAATGAGCTTTCTCCGTCACTGGTGCCTTACTCCTCTAGTTTCAGGAACGGGCTGACCACTTTCCTGCTGTGCCTAAGACAGCAACTGACCTAGTCTGTACCTGGATTTCACTTGAATTTGTAAAACGTGTATTGTTTAAAAAAAAAAAAAAAAACATGTTCATGAATATTTGCACATAAGACCTTGCACTGCTCATTTCCAGTGGAGTGTTTGCAGACTAAACGCAGTGGGCCCCTTCAGAAAGTGGTGAAATAGCTCAAAACAAAAGGCTGAGTAGCGGACAGGACTCACATACCTCAGAGCTCTGGGGGAGCTCTGGAATGACCTGTGTTCTAAGTGTCTTGGCTTCTAGGGAAGGCTATGCTGGAGCAAGAAGCCTGCCTCTTGAGTGGAGAAGTAGAGTGACTGGAATGTGTCTGGGCTTTTACATGGACAGAGAGACATGGGCATGTGGGCACGTTTTATTTGGAAGGACATTTATTCTCTGAGATTACAGAAGTACGCAGAAATGTCTGGGATTCCTGTCACATCTGTCTCATGATGCTATTTGAGGCAGCTTGCTTTGTTACTGTGCTCGGTCCTTATTAATGTTCTCTTCAGGTTGGGGAAGGGAACATTTTTGTCTATGTTGAATCTCTGGCTTCCTCTTTGTAGTTGTCTGTTGGTCTTGCTAATAGAAGCTCAGAAAAACATAGAAAGTTTCTCCTGATCCTGCTCTTGACATGTGCTGCCCTTTCAGGATCTGGTCAGTCTTTGGAAATTTTGTTGATGGAATCTCAATATATAACCCACCAATAGAAGAAGAGGCCATTCAGGCTCATCTAAGCCTTGATAGTGTCACCCTTGTGGGCAAAGATCTGAAATACGACCACAGCTGTGCTTTTGATGCATTCTACTTTAAAAATCTAATTTAAAAAAAAATGTTTTAATTTTGTCCTTCCAAGAGAAAATGACAAAAGAGAGATGTCTACCTGTCACAGAAATGTCTAAATGTTACACACTGTGCTCATGCACTTGCACACACACATGCACCCATCCATGTACACACAATGTGTGAACCCATATATGTGCATGCGCATGCGCACACACACACACACACACACACACACACACACACACACACACACACACACAAAGAGAAATGTTCAAATTCCTTTGAGAATTTTAAGCAGAACCTGATCTTTCTGTATGTGGTGTCTAAAGTCTACAAGTGGGGGCTGAAGAAATAGATGGCTTGGTGCTCAAGGATACTTTCTGCTCTTGCAGAAGACCAGAAGACATGGGTTCAATTCTCAGCATCCATATCAGGCAGCTCACAGTTCCAGGGGATGTGATGCCCTTTTCTGTCTTCTGAGGGCACCTGCATTCATGTGGTGTGCATACATACATGCACGTGCACGCATGCACGTACACACACATACACATACACACACACTAAAAAGAACTTTTAAAATAACCTCCATAAGTTAATTAATGTGTGTTAGTGGGCAGAACATTGCAGCTTATTTAACTTAACTGATGGCTAGGTCCTTGTTAGTACACCAAGCACTCACTTGAGATTATTTATTGATCCAGACAAAGGAATTAGTCATGTTTGGGCTTGCTTTTATCATTGATAAGATTAACAGTGCATGTTTTAAATATGCCTTTTTCTGTATCGTGGATGTCTCTGTCGTGGACGGCAGTTGTCAGGATAATACATGGACTCTGGTATAGAAAGTGTACAGGCTGTTGAACGTCATTGCTGCTGACTTTAAACAGTTTACAAGTTTCTCTTTGGACAGACCCACCTGGTGTTAGTACAGAAATATCCCAGACTGTACACATCAATATTTTATGGCATTTGTGGGCTTTGGCCATCAGATCTATTGCAAGAGTATCACCTGTAGCAGTTTTAACCAATGCCCGCCCCCACCTCCCCAGGCCAGGGAGATTCTTGGCTATCATCTATGCCAAGGGGTTCCCTAGGTTGTTTAGTGACAGAGTAACCCAGCTCTGGGCTCTGAGTGAATCACAAACTAAACTCCCTTTTTATTGTCTGTTCTCAAAATAGATACAATAAATGTCGCTTTGTTTATGCCACTGGTGCTGCGGTGCAGAGTGCTTCAGGTGTGTCTTGACTGAATTTGCAGGCACAGTAAAGCTGGCCACGGTACAGCCGGCCATGGGGCATTCTGCCCTCCAAACTCCCCGCACCGCCCTGTCCGACCCGCTCCATTGTCCTGTCACCTCCTCTCCAGAGCCGGGCCTTAGCCCTTGGTTTTGTTGGTCATCTGGACTAGGTAGGCAAGTTTTTCTGGAGAAGCATCTCATCTGTGGAAGGTAGAAAACACTAAAAAGCCCTTCAAGAGGTTTTCCTTCCCGAGTGTTTGACCTAGAGGGAATGCTTACTGTATTATATTTATTACGGGCTCCTTGCATATTCCTTTCTGGTTCTATTTGACAGAAGAAATTTATAATGGTTTACTCTCTGCATAAATACTTTTAGAAGGGCAGTATTAGTTTGAGGCCTCAGAAGGCTTAATAAAAGTGTTTGGAGAGGTGCTGTCTCAGCTGATTAATTATACTGTAGATGTACTGGTAGATGGTCATTGGACATTCTCCCTCAGTGGGGATGTAAGGCCCATAAGGCAGAGGAATGTGGATAGTCTCTGGAAGCTGCATAGGCAAGGAAACATCCCTGGGAGCTCCCCGAAAGGAACACAGCCCTGACACCTCGGTTCTAGTCCAGTGAGAACCATGTCAGACTTCTAAGTTACAGAACGATGGGATTAACACAGTGTGTTGACTTACAGTCACTGGTACGTCCGCGGCAGGATGGTCTACCACTGTGCACATCCATTTTCGTGGCAAGTCACACATTATACCTAGCGGAAGCTTCCACTCCATAAGCACTTTTCGTGGTGCTAGGAACACAGTGATGGAAACCTGACCGAGGTGCCTGCTTCCTCGGAGACTGGAGTGGCTGGAACCCAAGCCCCAAGGATAGTGTTGTAGCATCTTGCTCCAGGAGGCGCCCTGGCATGAGAGAAGGAAGAGCAGAGCAGCCAAGCCCGGAGCAATGAGGTGAGTGATGGTTTTATGGTTGCCAGAGAAGCTGAGGCTTGGCCGCTTCCAAGGGACATGAGCAAGAGCTGGGCAAGGAGAGTTCAGGGTCCTAGGCAGGGTGTTGAACACAGAATAGACTTGCTGGTTTCCCCCCTCTTCCATGCTATTTGCTTAAGTGTAGCTTTAAAACTGAATACTTAAAGCAGGGCGGTGGTAACACACGCCTTTAATCCCGGCACTTGGGAGGCAGAGTCAGGTGGACCTCTGTGAGTTCGAGGCCAGCCTGGGCTACAGAGCGAGATCCAGGACAGGCACCAAAACTACACAGAGAAACCCTGTCACAAAAAAACAGAAAAAAACAAAAAACCAAATAAAAACCCCAAAAAACAAAAACAAATAAGCAAAAAACCTGAATACTTAGTAAACATAACAGTTATGAATTTAACAAGTCATATTATTTGCCATTAGTGCCAATAAGCAAGTCAAACACCCTTTTAAGGATTTTACATTTGTATGACAGGTCTGATTATTACATTTATAAATCTAACAGATTTTAGCAAAAACTTGCGAGCAGCCTTTGGATAATGCTTAGTCCTATTTACGAGCTCAGCCCAGCACTTCACACACTTTCAAGTGAATGTACAGATTTAATCTACCTCCTTTAATTACCTCTGTTTTTTTGGCAGTAAGCAAAGGCATCCTATACCATGGAAGCTGATAACCTGAGCTTATGAGGAAAACTGGAAGTCTATTAAATGAGTTTATTCTACTCTATGTTAACTTGGATGCCACCATAAAAAAAAGTCATGAGTCTAAGTCAATTCCCAATTACATATTTTAAAGTGGGCTTATAAAACTGCCACTAGTGGGCTTTATCCTATTAAATATCTTGTGTGTCAAAAATACCTGCTATACACAAGTCCCTTCCTGACCCCAAAATACTAGTCTGTGCTATTGGTCTCCTCTTCAGAGTCTGAATCCCAGCCCTCAGGGCCCCTCTCCAGACTGTCCTGTGTTAGCAACTCCGGCTTGCCTCATTGTAGGGTAGGGGCTGATGCCTGTGGTGGCCACTTGTGCGAGGCCACCACGTTCCTTCTTGGCTGTTTGATTTTCTCAAAATTTTACATTGAACCCTGTGCTAAAATAACAGATATGTGGGTCAGAGAGATGGTTCAGCGGTTAAGTTTAAGCGTGCCTCCTTCCCTTCCAGAGGGTCTGTGTTTGGTTGCCAGAACCCATGCTAGGCAGCTTTCAGCAAACTGTAACCCAAGCTCCAGGGGATCTCACACCCTCTTCTGGCCTCTGTGGGCATCCATCCACATGGTACACACACACTCATATAGATAAATAAACACATTAATAAAATAACAGATGCAGCTTTTGTCCTCTTATTAGACCCTGACTGATGAACCAGGATTGAAGAATATATTCCCTAGAGAAGATCACAGTATTTCCAGGTAACCAAGGTTACTCACTTAGGTGTGGACAGAGCTGGAGACACTCAAGGGATTCTAATCACCCCACCTAAGGACCCTGCTATAATCTTGTGTAATCTTGGTGACTGCTCCTCAGCATTCTTGAGATACAGGTGAAGCACAGGTGACATCCATCTGTTCCCAAGAAAAAAATGGGTCCTATTTATGGCTCCTTAATCGGCAGTTTCATACTTTAGAAATATTCTTGTAGGCCTTGTTCCTGTAGAGTGCAACTGCCCAACTCTTCAGAATGCCTTTCTCACACATCACTCATTAGGTTGTTTTTTAATTTGTCTGGCTTCATGGGCTCAGTTTACTGATCTTTGAAATGAATTATAAGGCAATGGGAATACCTTCTTCAGCTGAGCAGTATTCTGATTAGAGCCTGAATTCCTAAATTCTTTCATATTCTCACGGCCATGTCACTCTGAACAAATCCAATCAGATACCAGCTAAATATCTTGGATAGCTCTGTTGTCTGTAACTTAATTCTATTTTCTGTAGACTGATGTAGGATCAAGTTTACTTGTCTGCCAAGAAAAATGTTTCCTACCTGCTTGAGCAATCTTGAGCCGGACTAAATAAATGGAATCAGCATAAGGCCTTTGGTTCTTCGAATGGGGGAAGGCTTGTGTCAGATTAATTTCTCTGCCAAATAATGGTAAAGCTAGTGGTGAAAAAAAAAAGTATAAAGCAAATGTTTGAAAGAATTGGCAATGTCTCAGTCCAGGTGGCATCTGAGAGGGTCTGGTTCCTGAGAGGATGCAAACATGTGAGACAAGCTCAACCTGGTCTCCCCCTCCAACAAAATTATGGAGTGACAGCAGACAGCAGCAGACTCTGGACTGAGATGAAAAGCTGTGGAGGAGTGGGAGCTTGAAGAGAAAGTGATAGAGATGGATGACTAAAATCCACAGATAAGGTCTCCCTCCCGTTAGGCTGATTCCTAAGCAGAGAATGTGTTATGGTTAATGTGCCAAGTGTCTCCCAAAGGCTGGATGTTGACTTGGTCACTAGCCTCTAGATCTGTTGAGAGACAGGGGACCACTGTCGGTCCTAGGCAGTGGGACCTAGCAGAAGGAAGTCAGATCGCTGAGGGTTATGCTCTTGAACGGGAAACTGGGACTCCAGTCTCTTCATCTTTCTTTTTGCTTCCAAGCTACCACTGAGTGAGAAATTTTGTTCCTGCCATGTATTTCCACTGTGTGATGTACTGCTCACCACAGCATCCAAAACAATAAAGCCAAGTGGCCATGTGCTGAAGCATCTAGAGTGTGGGCCAAGACAACTTTCCCCTGCATCTCAGTTATTGTCATAGCAATGGGAAGATAGCAGGGTACTCAAAACTACCAAATCTAGCTGAAGGGAAAACAGCAGCTACCATGATCAACAGATGAATTCATTTCCATCCTTTCATAATGTTGAGGAGATTCAGGTTCTACCAAAGCTGGGGACTTCGGCATACATTCTCAGTATTGGATTGAGTCTTACTCTAAGGATCATGGCCAAAACAAGATCCTGGAGTAAAGCACAACTATATTAGTAATTACATTAAATGCAAATGGACTAAATAAGTCAATGGAGAAACAAAAATGGTCAGAGGGGAGTA